TTTTGCATACTATACACTTCCCCTATTTCCTTAGTGGCGAAATAGCTACCTCATAAGGTAAATCCGACTTGAACGGATAAGATTAAAAATCAAATAGTCCTAAGCTATTCATGTCTACCAATTCCATCATTACCTTTTGTATCTATTATAAAAACTAGTGCTCGAGATAAGATTTGAACTTATAACCTAAACATCTTCAGAGTTCCGCTCTACCGGGTTGAGCTTCTCGAGCTTAATAAAAATTATTAAATGGAGATATTAGGACTCGATCCTAAAATAACGATATGCAAAATCGCAGTTTTACCAGTTAAACTATATCCCCTTGTTATATTTCTTCATTGGTACGTATTATTTATTGGCTTACTTTGACATAAAAAGGAGCCTCTGACTATATTATAGCCATAATAAAAAATGTAACCCACTCGGGATTCGAACCCGAGGTATAACGGTGAAAGCGTCATGTCTTAACCACTTGACTAGTGGGTCTTTATATACCAGGGTACTAATTATCCGAAAAACGACTTGAACGTTTACGATATTATATCAGAAAAGCTTAAATTTTCCCTGTCTACCAATTCCAGCACTCGGATTTTAATTACTTATAGTACACACTACACAAAATGTGTGAGGGAAAAATACATTATAAATATAGTCCATAAGGCCAGAGTGACTTGAACACTCATCTGAGCTATCATGAGCAGCTTGCTCTACCAATTAAGCTATAGCCTTTTTAATATATTAAATTTATATGTTTATAGCGCGAAGCGAGCGCATCACTCGTAAAGCGTGTTTGCGAGCACTTTGCGAGACTAAATTATATGCGGACAAAAGATTTGCACTTCTATCTATTGGACATGAGCCAATTATGTTACTATTACACCAATCCGCATTTCTTTACATAACAATATATTTTGCTTTGCTAGCTAAAGCATTAAGTAATTGTCTTTAATATCTACCATTAAATTATTATAGCCCAGTGTAAGTATCGCACTTACTTCTTCCGATTACAAAACGGGTGCATTGCTTTTATGCTAACCAGGCTAAATTTTAGCAATTTTTACCGATTTCACACATAAGTAGAACATTTAGCGCTTTATTAGCGCATCACTCGTAAAGCGTGTGTGCGACACAAAGTAATAAATAATGTTATTATTGCTCTATCTAGCAAATCAAAAAATGTAATTTAATGCTTAC